GTTTTTTTAGTGTTGCAAATTTTTTATTTTTCGTAACGTTTAAAAAACGTTGCGGCAGGCAAAGCTTTTCGCAGCGTTTATAAAACGTTGCAAAAAATGTCTTTTGCAACATTTTTTAAACGCTACGAAAGAAGCATCTTTCGCAACGTTTAAAAAATGTTGCGAAAGAAGTTTTTCACTTTTTTTTTTTTTTCGTGATATTTTCGCAACATCCGTTTTAGGAAACGTTGCTAAAAGTCTCGCCCCTTTAAAATCAAATGGATTTAACATTAACCCTAGCTCCTCTCCGCCTCCGTCTCTCCTCTCCTCTCGCCTCTACCTCTTCTCTATCATTTGAAATTACGATTTGAAATTATAGGTGGATTCCCGATGGGTTTGACGCCGAGCAGATTTTGCTGGGCTCCGACTGACGCCAGCACCGCCTGTGCCTGGTTCGTCTTCTTCACTATTTTTTTCTCCCAGTTTTGAAAGTGGGCTGCCGTTCCCCTTTTTTGCCCTCTAAAAACCTAAGTCGCAATTAGTTTTTGTTATATATTCGTTAAATCAAATTAAATTAGCCCTGAACTTGCGCAGGAGGAACAATAATCGGATCTGAAACGCGTTTTCTTGGTTATAGCATCGTTGAAGTCATCTCGGTCAAGAGGAGCATCACACACGAGAGGTGCAGTGAAATGGAGTTCCAAAGATGCCGGCACCAAGTTCGAAGAGAATATAATGTCTTCAAGTTCAAGTCCGATAATTTTGACGTCGATACATTTGTCTAGTCCAAGTCTCAGTCCCTCAATGAAAAGGTTCCCCAAATTTTTTCTTATGAATTTAATTATATTTTTTATTAATTAATTGAATTTTTAATTCAGTTGAGAAAGTTGGATTATTTGTTAATGTAAATCAGTAATGGCTTTACTTTGTGGAAAGTGGAAACGAATTTACAGTAATGATTGATAATTGATTAAGTGATTATTGTATTGATTATTTTGTGGTTGCATTACTTGTGAATTGTGAAAGTGAAACACGGAAAGTGAAAGTGAAAGTGAAAGTGAAACCCCATATCTATCTGTTGGCTGTTTTTACAGCTATA